AGGGTATACATTCGTAGCAAGTTGCCTTGTTCTACGCGAGTGTTCCCGTGACGTCATTCTGGGAGTTGACTTTCTACAGGAAAATGGAGCTATCATTGATCTGCAAGAGCGCCGCGTCACGTTCTCAGTCTAGCGAGCAATCAACGTGCAGGATGGTGGAAGGCGTGTCGACGTACTCCGTATTTCTGAACAGAGCGTGACGCTTCCTCCACGAGCAAGTGTTCTAGTCGACGTAACATGCTGTGGTTTGGGCCATGGCGATGTGGTGGCTGAGACAAATTTAGAACAAGGAAGTTCGTGCTAAAGCAAATCAGCACGAAAAGCACGCCGCGGAGCGTCTGTTGTTTTGTTTGCCCCATATCGGCTTGTTTGCCCCGTAAATTTGATGTCACTTCCACCACACTTCTCGCAATGCATTGGGATACGATAGGGCCTCTCCTCAGTATTTCCTTCTTCTATGGTTTATTGTGACAGGCTGGCAGTGCGCATGCCCGTGCTTGTTTCGCGATAGCGTGGGCAGCACCTGTTCATATCTGCCCTGTAGTGTACATTGTAATCAAACGTTGCGGGGTGAAAATCAGTTTCTGACAACTGTGCTCTATTACAATGCAGTCAATAGAGCCATTGTCGAGACCACACACACAAAAAGATAGTATCACCAAGTTTTTATTGTACTTGAGTTTCTTGTTTCTATCGAGACACTTCAATGCAAAAAATTTGTTGGTCTGTCTGTTTGTCTGCCTGTCTGTCTATTTGTTGGTCTGCTGCAAATGATTCAACCACCCGGCAATTATAACATAAAGGTTTACGCACAATAAAGTTTTACATCCACCCGGCAAAAGTTGCCCTATGTCTACCCATCTTTATCTCAACTCTATGTTCATACTAGAGAACATTCTCAATAAAGAAGCAAGTATTGTACATATTTGTGCTACCAGTGTCTCTGCATTCTAAAAAAACTTGCCTTTCTTGACATTACTGCCAAATGGCATTCATATCTCACGCTACTGTCTTTCGACATCCTTTGCAGTGAAGCACGCAAATATGCAGCAAAAAGTTTTTTTTTTTTTCACACTGCAGCAATGTCTTACATGATTCAGTGTGTGTTCTTGCATTTATGCACTTCTCAATGCAATGAGTACTGTCTTGTAGCTTTTTCATACCTCTCAGAGTGCAGCTTCAACGCAATGTTTCCAGCTTAATAATGAACGCATCTCTGTGAGTATTGTGGGAGGATACCATGTATCCTCAGTCCTAGCCATAGCCATCAGTTGAGCATGGCTGTAGGTGCCATGTCCAGGAGCGCCCGGCGGCAGTGTGCTTCCAAGCATAGACCACGGCGAATGTGTTTCACCACATGAGATTTTTGTCATCTTTGCCTCTTCTTATTGCTCCACGGCATTCCTCTGCCAGCATTCTCTTAGTATGTACAGATAGTTGACAAGCAAAATTTGTTTTGTTTTGTTTATTTACAGCTATGTGTTGTGTTTGCAACGATTGTTATACCAAAGTGATTTCATTTGTTTATTGTGAAAAGTTCAGTCGAGCTGTTTTCTTAGTTGTTCAGTTGAAGTACCTTTCTCATCACCTCATTTCTTCGCTTGTGTTCACCCTTTTGTTTCTTTTCTCACTGGCAACAATGCAACGATAATTGTCTGCCACAGTAGAGCAGTGGTTGTGGTGCTTGGCGGCTGATCTGCCCGTTGGAGTTTGATCTCAGTCATGGTACAGTGAAATCTCGGTAGAACGAACCCCACAACAATGAACTTTTCAAATTAACAAACTTTCAAAAAATCACGTGTCTATAGCTAATAGTTTCAGTGTAAAATTATATCACTACTACGTACTTCAGAATACCGAACTTTTCAAAATAACGAGCATTAACTTAGTTCCTCATTATATTAACAACGCCTCAATACTACGAACTTATGTTCTGAAAGCCGTCGCGACCACCGGAGTGGTACGCAAGCAGATGACAAAGCGAATGGACGCCTTGCTTTTCGGAAGTCGTGCGACGGTGTGGAGGAAAAAAAACGAAATGGCGACTTTCTTTCCTTTTTATTGAAACGCCGACGCTGCAGGTTTACAAGCGAGCGCAGAGGCGAGGGCAACACGGAAGGGCAAGGTCAGTGAGGCAGAGTGGGAGTTGCGGAGCAGGAAGCATGGGTGCGGAAAACCTGAGACAGCGAGAGAGCAGAAAACAAAACGCGAGGAATTTTCTTTTCTAGCACTTTTTTTTTTCTTCAAAAGAGGCTATGACAGCCGTGACGCTTCGGGTTTTTCTTTGGAGGCCTTGTTTTTTCTGTCGTGTTCATATCTTTCCGGTGATTACTTATCGCGTCTGCAAAGCAAGTCGGCGTTCATGCTGCGGTGATACCACAAATGAGTTCATCTCTGCTTGCGATGAAGAAGGGAAGCAGTTTTCGCTAAGGGAGACAATGGATATTCTTTGGCAACTGGAAGGCAAAAAGCAGGCTGTTGTGATGAAAGAATCGAATCGCACCACAGGAATGTGGATGAGCTGGAGGCCTTGGCACTGCAAAATTTGTGCTGCTTGGGTCAAAAAAGATTTTAAAAAATCGCAGACTTTTTCAAGGTAAACGTGCATTTTTTGGTGTTTACTTGTGCATTTGTTTTTTTCTTGGGAAAAACGAGTTCAAGGACCCACCTTTGTAAAGGTAAGTTGTTTTGGTCGGTGAAAAATAAGTACCGTGTTTACTCGCATAATAGGCGCACTTTTTTTTCAGAAAATCCGGCTCGAAGTTAGAGGTGCGCCAATTACGCGGGGTAAAATTTTCGAAAATTTTTTCAACTCGGTTCTCGCGCTTTAAATCTGCACACTTGTCAAGTAAAAGGCGACTTTATCATTTACCAATTAATTCAGCATAAAACAAACATACCTACGTACCTTTTAATGAACAAGCGAGAGCCGTCAACTGCACACACACACGTAAAATTTATTTACACAAAAGTCGTAGCTGTTTCTCCTTTTCCCTATTCGGAGTCCGAGTCGGAGATCACACATTCATCCTCGCCGAGCAGGGATTCGTTTTCGGTGTCCGAATCATCCGCACCCCACAACATGTCATCCTCACTCGCATCCAGTGCGTTCGAGATACCCGTCTTCTTGAAGCTTTTCCTGACGACTTCGCCTGCCACGCTTCCACGATCCAAGCGCACAGCATTTCCACAGGCGGCCTTTTAATCTTACCACCTGTAGTCAGCTGATGTTGTCCTCCAGCCATCCAGGTGGTGTGCAGCCTTCGAACATTGTCCTTGAAAGGTTTATTCAAGGACACGTCCAAAGGCTGCAGTATCGATGTGAGGCCGCCCGGAATCACTGCCAGATCTGTGCGCAGCTCCTTTAGCTCATCTCGTACGCGGTCTACTAGGTGCCCACGAAAACTGTCCAGGACAAGCATGGACGGCAACAACAGACCACCCGGCCGCCGACCCCAGACTGTTTTCACCCAATCCACCATGAGTTCCGCGCTCATCCAGCCTTTTTTCTGGACTCTGACGTAGATGCCTTGAGGGAATTTTGCCTTTGGGAGCGTCTTACGTTTAAAAATAACGTAAGGCGGTAGCTTACGCCCATCCGCTGTCACTGCCAGCATTACGGTGCATCGTTGTTTATCAGCGCCAGACGTTCTGACGATGACGCTCCGTGCACCTTTCTCCTCCACTGTCGTGTTCCATGGCATATTAAAGCAAAGGGGGTCTGATCAGGGTTGTCGATCTGGGACAAAATGAAGTCTTTCTGCTGTTGGAGCTTTATAACAAAACTGTGGAAGTCCACCACTTTGTCCTCATATGCTGCGGACAAGCGCTGGCACAAGGTGGTCCGCCTTCGCAGTGCGAGGCCATGGCGCCGCATGAAACGAGTTGTCCATCCGGAGCTGGCTTTGAACTCTTTTGCTTCGATGCCCTGCGCTCGGGCTATTCTGCGCGCCTCAGTCTGCACAATATCCAACGACACAGCACAGTCGTCTTGTCGTAGCTTCCGTATATGCCGGACCAGTTGCTCTTCGACGTTCGGATACCTGCCGGTCTTGGCACCCCGGAAAGCCCCTCGTGTCTTCTTCGTCGCCTTAAGTTTTTCTTCTTAGTCCCTCCAGTACCGAATACTGGTTTATCCAACGCCGAAATGCCTGCTTGCAGCCCGGTTGCCGTGCTCCAGCGCGTACTGCACTGCCTTCAGTTTAAACCCAGCCGTGTAGCTCGCGTACTTCCCCATGGTGGAACCAAAGTTCAATACACGACCACAACATACGCACACCGCTTGAAAAATGGCGTTTCTTTCTTTTTCTCTGATGGTGGTGATGGGGATCGAGCCCCCGGCGTCGTACACGTGACCTCCAATAAGCGCGGCGATTTGGGGGGTATCAGTAATTGATGGAACAGCCGTTTTTTTTTTTCGCTCATGGACGCTTTTTTTTTTTCAAGTTTTATTTCGACAAACACGTTGGTTAGGTCGTTGCACTTCGAATTTTTTTTATTTGCTCGTCGATTTGCCTTCTTTTTTCTTCAGGGTACGGGGACCGCATTCCAACTGTACCGCTGGGGGGTAGAATCGTTTCTGATCACGGCCAAGTTCGGGGTGCGCCTATTATGCGCGGAATTAAAAAAAATCGAATTTTCTGCGACCAAACTAGGGGTGCACCTATTATGCGAGTGTGCCGATTATGCGAGTAAATACGGTATTTATGATTAAATTTCGAGCTTTCACTACAATGACCTTTCAAAGTAACGAACAAATTTCCGCCGTCCCCTGAAGTTTGTTATACCGAGATTTCACTGTAGTCGCATGTTAACAGCATGAAAATGCTAGAGGCTGGGCGATATCAATGCTCCTTTGAAGAACACATTTGCAGAGTGCTTCACTGCAGAATCTCTCATAATCATGTCGTGGTTCGGGAACAATAAACCCTAGTTTTTATTATTATTATTTAACAATGCAAAGATGCTCATTCTTCATTTTATTATGTATGCCCATACAGAGAAGCACTGCTTTGTACAACCTGGCGGCCGGCCTTTGCCTTGGTGCCAAGAAAGCTCGTGCCGGCCAGCACGTCACACTCGAGATGTGCAACGACGCCAACGTGGTGCACCACTGGGACTTCCGCTTGGTGGGTGCACACTGACATGCCCAGTACAGCCACAGACTAGGTCAGAGAGTGCAAGGGGTCTCATGAGAAGACATACCGGTGCAATGTGTGTGAATGTGTGGGCGTATTCTCTGTGATGACCACATTTGCTTCAAAAGGGCATCATGATAGACTTCTCACTGGTTTAGTATGTGTTCCAAATGTGTCTGAATCTCAGCCACCAGGCGTAATTGTGTGTACAGTTGGTCTTCTCTGCTGCCTTATGTGTACTTGGATGACTCATGGAAATAGGAAAATGGAAGAATTCCACACTTGAGGTACACTTGCCTGGTTTTGGAAGCAAGGATTAGAAGAACATTGAAAAATGTACATCACGTTATTACTTTGACTGCTACGACATTCTTTTCTATTTTGGAAGCAAATGATTTTTTATAACATGAAAAAAAGCTGCAGCTGGAAGCCTTTTCTTTCTTTTCAAGTGCGGGCTAAAATGACCATAACCTTATGGATGCTACTAGATTTTTTATCATATTTGTGTCACATTAGTGGCAGGTATGTTCAGAAAGTGGACATTGTGACTGGGACACACACCAGTCACAATGGTAGCCATTTGGTGGGGGTCGAATGTAAGATCTGTGTACTTACTTTTCAGTGCACATTTAAGAATCTCTGGTGGTGAAATTTCTTTTTGTTGTTATTGTCTCCCTCTCTTCTCAATCATTTTGTGATTTTTGAGGTCCCTAGGTTGACAGGCATGCTTATGAAGTCGTCTAGCATGCAAAAATTTGCTTGATTCCTTTCAACAAGCAATATAAGTAACATAGCCTTGTAATATCAGGGTTTTCATCATATCTGAACACTGACTTGTAGCATTCCATGTGGAAGCAAGCCCAGCTCTGCCCTTTACAGGCAGTGAGCACTGCAGAATGACAAGCAGCCAAACATATTTGGGGCTTGATATAGTAGTTGTGTTAACCAACTGACTTGCTGTTGTGCATGTAAGCCCCAAAAAGCTGTGCGATGTCGAACTGTTTAGCTTTAATAGTTTTGTAACTCTGCTTTGTACTTCAAGCATGAAACAGGTAATAATTCATGAAGCATCCTGGTATTGACCACTGTGGTCACCAGGCAAATTTTCACTTTTATGTGTTGTTGCTTATTAAGACATAACTGCTATAGCGTGCTCAAAGTAGCAAATCTGACCAGCTGTGAATACTTTTGAACTTTCAAATCTTGAAATTTCGTAGGTGGCAGGTTTGATTCTTGCCTACGGCGACTTTTTTTTTTCATGCACTTCACTTTCTTCCAGCGGTGTGGGAATATTCAAAATTCCAAATATTTTTCAAATAGTGTTTGATATTTGATTCAATTTGCACCGTAATTTTACTATTCAAACTTCCTGAAGACAAATACGAAGTCTAATTGGAAGTGGCCCGTTCAGATTTCTTTTTATATGCTTCACCCAATCACACTTTAACAAGCACTGTGGTGAAGCTGACTTTTGGACTCTGTTGCAGATGCATTGACTCAAGAAAACGCAGATTCCTACTTAGAGGTGCACTATGCTGTTACAGTGGCACCTTCGTATTTTTGATACGCTTCCCTGCATGACACTGGTATTACGGCAAGGCTGTCTTTAGGGCTAAGCTACGGCAGTAAAATGATCGGCGCTTGAAAGCGCTGGTTTGAACATATGTGGCATAGGTGAGGGCTTTAGTTAATGCTGTTCCAGACTAAAAAGTCTGCAAAATTAGACAAAGACTTTCAGCATCCAGAATTTCAGATGTTTTTATACATTGATGTCTGCAGGGCAGATTAGCAACTCCGAACTCAAATGGAGCGCACCCTTGTCCACTAAATTTGTTGGGCCTCCACAGAAGTTTGAGAGGGTAGAGATGGAGAAAACAGAGTTTTCTTTTCACATGTAAAGTGTTGTCCACAACACACTGGTTGCACCAAATCATATAAATAAATACAATTCGGTCTCTGCATTGCCTTAACCTTGATAAAATATCTAGGGAACACCAGCCCTTAAAAACTTCATCAACCTTACAAAAAAAAAAGACACTTTCATGTTTCTATCTCATGAGAATGTGCTTAGGGATCCACTGCAACCTTTTTTCACAGTCTTTACTTCAAAGTATTCGAAAGATAGTGAACGAATATTCCACAACTATTCAAAAAATATTCTGTTTGATTTGCACTGAAACTTTGATAATCAAATTAGCTTCAAACCTAAAATTTTGTTATTCGCACAGCTCTACTTTCTTCATATCTTTTGATAATTGCTACAAATACGTCCCTACATAGTTTCTATGGCTTAGTTTCTATGGCTGTTAGTTTTCATTAGTATTGTGTCTTACTTATAGTGGTATCATAAATATAGTAGTTACTTTTTTTCTTGTTAATTCCCTGTTGATTTAGTCTTGTCATGTGAAGGTGAAGCAATACGAGGCTTTATTGCTTGCACCCACTACTTCGCACTTATTAACAATAAGCTGTGATGCCAGTGCAAGTCAAGTAGTACTACTGTCTGCTACGTCAGATACGTATGGATGTTCAGGGAATCTCATGCTCTGCTTCTAGGAACCTCTTTCATGCAGCAGGCTTCTTTACATATGTGTGTATGTTTTGCAGCTGTCATGTTAAGGTGCACTGCTGGGGAAGCTTGAGTTTAGCCATTTGAATTTCAAGAAGTGACAGATATAATTGCATAGGGCATTTTAGTGCCTCTACATTAAATAGTTTGTATGGTTAGCCAAAAAAGCAGTGCATGCACATAAACATCGTGCTTATCTTTTTATTGCAGTTGCAATTATATGGACACTCTCAGCGTCTTTTCGCTGTTGCCATTGTGTTACATGTGCGTGCATTTACATGTATATAAAACCCACAAAGAAAAGTAGTCCTGAAGAAAACTACCGATGTATGTGACGGAGGATTCAAACCTCGTTTCACAAGGTGACACAGGACCACTTGGCTGCAAATGCATACATGATCCAGTGAGTTATTTATATAAAATATTTATCAGTGGTTCTATGCAGATCTCTGAGGCACTTCATCGTGGCAGATGCTTGTTCACTATGTTACACGAGATGGTGCAACGAGCCAAAGGTCACGCAATAAAGATTGTCACCCAACGCATGTTTCGCCACTGTTCCTCTAGCACAGGCCATGTTTTCTTGTGCTCGCATGCTTATCTCTAGAGAAGGTTTCATCCGATGATTTGTACGTGTTGTGCCCTCACTGTAAAGCTAGCTTTGAAGCCACAGGAAGCACGGAGTTCACTTTGCTGGGTGCAGCGGTTATGTTTGCTAAAGTTGCTAACCTTTCTTCGTGTGAAATTTAAATTTGTAGCTCTCACTCTCTTTGCTTTATGCCGGCTGTGACTCCCCCCTCCCTTTATTTTACAATAATTTTGTTTTGAAATGTGCTTCTTTCAGTCTTGAACGATTGAACATGTTGAAGTGTGTATACAGCCATGTGAACATGCTCTCCTCTTGGGACAACATTCTGACATTGACTGACAGTGTAATTGCAGCACGGCTAGTCAATTCGGATGCTGCACCACTGAGCATCGAACAATGAAACATCGCAGTAATGGGAGTTTTAATGATAGGTAATAGACAGCGTGTGCCAGTCGTTTGTGTACAGCAAATGGTGCAACGCTATATGTGGAGGAATCTGCAGGCGAGCACATTAGCTTTGTCAAAACAGACTAAAAAGGAAATTATCGTAAAGGGATGAAATTTCCACATGCTCGTAGATGTGTTATGCAGTTAAACCAATGCTATACAGTTGAACCCCTTCATAATAGACATGCCCCGGGCAGCAATTCTTGTCTTTATATGCGATGTCTCTTGTATGCAGGCTATTACATGTGCATTTTCTTGTCAGCAAGTGTTTTACAGTAGGCACACTGGTGTCTCTTATACCCATTTTTTTTTTTTGCTCTTATCAATGTCTCTTATAAAGGGGTTCGACTGAACTAAGGTAATTGGCCTCGAACAAAAGTCGCATGTTGTTCACGTGTCTTCGTGAGCCTTGATTGATTGAGAGAAATAAGCAGTGCTGTTCTCATGCCATTTTGCCAGAACAAAATTACAGATATAAAACTAAGGTGTGGCATGAAATTCCAGTGACTGATTAGTGCACACATGGTTTTGATACAGTGTCTCTCAAGACAGACTCCTTTGTAATGTGAAAACGTTTCACTTTTGCATATCATTTCGTAATTGCACATTTGACATTGTAACACTTAGCTATTCAGGACTGAGACCGTAGGCTCTTAAGATGAAACGGCATAACACATATAGTTGGGTACAACCTAAGAAGTCCAAAAGAGCAACAGAATTGACACCTGGGCTGGTTGGTTGAAATGCATGGTATAACTGTGGTTTAAGGAGAGATGTGGGTCAAATAATGTGAGTTTTCTAAAAAATTACCCATTTTTTGTTTTGGTAAGATTAGTACCTCTACTGTTATTAGAACAAAAATTATGTTGAGACTCAAATGAATATGCTTTAAAATTGCGTCTAAAGAGCACAAAGTGGCTGTTAAAAGGCCAAAAGTGTGCAGTCTTCAAGCACCTTGCCGCTCGCCACTGTTCATCGCATGAGGCGAACAGCCGAGCCCCGCTCTTCAAATAACAATTGTTTCCTGCCCTGCTGCTGCGCAAGAAATAATAGATAGAAGCGCACTTTTGCAGCATTTTTGGAGCTCCACGGCTGGCTTTTAAATCGCATGGTACAGATCGGGGACTGCCATTGGTCTGGGCTGTGAAGCCCACTTGCAGGGTCAGTGTCTCATCGAGCAGCACAGCTGAAGAATGCTTTTCTTGTGTATTTATCTTCATTATGGATGAAGAAAGCCCTAGCTTGGGCGATAGCTACGCTGTCAACGTGAAAGCTGTTGTTGCGGCACACTCTGTAGGAATGGGCTACGAGCAGCTCGTTTGATTTGCGGCAATTTTTGGCTTGTAAAAGCCAATGCATCACATTCATTCACAGCTGTCAGCCAGAAAATTCGTGATGTGGCAATGGCTGCCATCTGTGCTAATCTTGTGAAGTCGAGGGAGCTCACAGTAAAGGAAGTTAGAGGAAACAACATTGCTATCATGTACGAGGGTATGTGGCACAAACGCGGCCACAAGAGTCGCGAGGGCATCGGCACTGTTGTGTTCACGCCACTAGGCTTTGTTTAGCTTTCGAGCGTCCCTTATAATCATATGGCGTTTTGAAAGTTAAACCCCACATATCAATTAATAAATTGTTTAGATGTCGAAGTCCTCTCGAACACCTCCCTAGCTTGCAGTCGGCACAAGGCTCTTCCAGATGCAATGAAGTGGAAGAAGTTTCGCAAGCGTTTCATGGCCCTGTGTGTGTGATAGAAATGTGTGTGAGGAGTCGGCTCAAAAGACCCGTGAGGGACGAACTTGTGGTGCTGGCGCATTTCAGTCACTGGTAACTACAAAAAGGGTTGTTCTTATTGATGTATTAATTTCATTTTATTTAGTGACATCTTTTATAAATAAACATTCAATTTCAACTTAAGCTTGGTTTTCTAAAAATAGATTTTGCCATATTGTTCAATGTGCCCCTGATTTTTCGGGCACTTCAGGTGCTCAGATCTGCATGACATTTTCCCCAAACTTTTTTTATTGTATGACAAATGCAATTATCTTGTTTAAATTTTTCTATTTTCATTTTATAATGAAAATTTTATATTTATGTCAACCTTTGCTAGGGTAGGAGAAATAAGGACTTCCGTCACATCTATTATTTTTTGCACATATTTTATATTTTGATGCACTTCCTAATAAGTTTTTCGCATTTTATGCTTTATTTGAAACGTTATGAATTGTCAGTGGTAAAAAATTATGAATGTTTAGTAATGAAAGCAGGGGGGGCAAAACGCTTAAGGTTTTCAATTTGTCATGTTACAGAGCTAAAGGTTTGCAACTTGCAAGAAAACTAATTATATATTTCAAATCAGCATAAAAAGTTCTATAAACAGCTCAAGTTTCCTTGCTCCATGGTAAATACTAAGAAAAAGGGTCTTCAAGTAGCAACTTCCCTTAAGAGGCCCTGCAACACTTCTTGAGCATGGTCAGAAAACGCTGCCGATCGGTAGTAGAGGCTCCCAAGAACACGCGAGCCAAATATTATAGCCCAGCATGCGGCCTGGAATTCACAATAAATTATCAAAGTTATCTAAAATTTGATTTCTCTTCTCTCGAGAAATGATGCAAGACGCTCAAAAATCGTGCATAGAAGGCCATCTATCAGCCATTAGCTGATTTGAACATGGCACGCTCGGTCGCTACATGGATCGCTGCAGGAGGCTGCGACTTGTCCACGCGTGTACGCGCGATCACATGAAAAAAGGCGCATATTCGATGAGAAAAAAAAAGGAAAAGTGCTCAAGGTCACGAGGCACGTGTGACATATTCGCCCCTGCCAACCCTCCCTGCTTAGCCTCCATCGCTATCGCCGGGACGAGAGCAGAGAAAACATAATTGCAATGTGCGACAATTCTTTGTAACTCTGCTTGTACTGGACGGATTCTAAAAATTTTTGTGGTGTTGAATTCGTGAGGCAATCAGCTATTTCAGTGAATTCATTCCATAGTTACTTGAAAAAGTGTTTCAGGGCCCATTTATAGACAAACTCCGGCGATTTTTTTACCATGTCAGATTAATGGTGCTTTTATGTTCCTGGGGCACTTTTGTCACACGTACGATAGCTGAAATGCTCAACAAATTTGAAAATAATTTTTTATTTCCGAAAAACCGTAATATCGAAACCCAATCGAGTGCGCTTCTATGTGTGACGTAATCATTTCCCTAAACCTGCTTTATTGCGTATAATGCTCGCCAGATGGCACTTCCTGACCACACTGTCCACCGCGATGGGCTATAACGCTTACACTGTTATGGTGAATATATGGCAAATCATGTGTGGTTCACAACAGAACACCATTTGCCACCTATCGTACGCCCACCAACACGGAAAAGGAAATCGCACGCTCAACTAAGGAAGCGCCGACCAAACCCACACAATCCATAGATGACAACAGATGCTGCAGTGGCACATCAGTTCCATCACTTTCCACTAGGCAAAACTCAATGTCACATGCACAATGTTGCCATTAATTCTGGCAAGTGAGGTGACCATTTTGAGTCAAGCTATGACATTCATTTGAGAAGAATTGGCGAAACTCTCAAGTTTGGGATTTGGCATGAATGGCCCAAACGTTCAAATGAAGGTACCCAGTGAATTTCATAGAGATCCATTGACCTCAAAAAATTGCCGGAGTTGGCCCTATTATAGCGCAGCATGTGGCCTGGAATTCACCATAAATGATCAAAGTCATCTAAAAATTGCTTTCTCTTCTCCAGAGAAATGATGGAATAACGTCTTCAGTGATGGAAGTGCTGCTCTGATTGCTCTAAACTGCTCTAAAAGAGAAATGCTGTTTCATGCTGCTCCAAAGTGCAATGTTTGCTAGTAACTGCTCCAAACCAGCTACAAAATGGTGTTGGCAAACTAAAAAGTACAGTGTACTAGAATTGGCAAGTGTGTCGTGCGCGGGTGCAAAACGGGTCACCTCAGCGTTGATACCCTCCTCTCCCAACCAGCTCTCAGCATCCCTCTTACATGCAGTGCCATCTCACGGCGCGCGGAGCAGTCCCCGCTGAGACAACCCGCTTCGCTAGTCCGCGGCGGCGGGGACATTTCGTCTGCTCCGCAACGGAGCACGCCGTTGGGAAGTCGCAAGTTCTGTTGACTCTTACCTTAAGACTGTTCCTTGGAACAAAGAAAAAAAGATGTCACGCTCGCTTGCGGTAAGCATGCTGTTCACAGATAGTCGGCATTTTCCCCATTTATATGGTGCTTTTATAATGTCTCTGGGAGAATCGGATCCGCTCTAGTTCTGATATTCAAAGACAGCTTGGCTAACGGACGCATATTTTCAGACACTTTAAAGGATTAACCGAGGAGGCTCGTATATTCCAATTAAATGCGCAGTGACAACGGGGCGAAGGCCTAGACAAGACAAGAAGGCCGCCGGAACACGAAACAGCGATTGCGCTTCTTTGCACGACCGATAGCCGCTGTTGCAGTATGGCACAAAACACGTGCGATCGCGCTTGTCCCGCCGTCGTTCCGCCATCCCACTGGTTCACGTCGCCGCTGCACCAGTTCACGACGAGCACATTCTTCACCGTAGGTTCAAAAAAGGGGGAGAAATTTCCTCCACGACGCACCTAGAACAAAACAAGCGAGCGCCACTGCAACATCTCGTTAGGCCGGCCGCCGGAGCTGCTGCAGCCGCAGAAGCATCCCTCTTGCTGGTGGCGCCCCTATCGGACCGCCGCGATGTTCACGCGGCAGTGACCCCTCCGCTCCCATTGTTCGGCCCCGCGGACATCACACTTCCCAATTCTAGTACACTGTATAAAAAGAATGAAGTT